CGGTCGTCGGTCGTCATCGTCGGTCGTCGGTCGTCGTCGTCGTCGTCGTCGTAGGTGTCGGCATCGGCGTCGGCGTCGGCGTCGGCGTCGGCGTCGGTCATCGCTCGTCGGTCGTCGGTCGTCGGTTGTCGGTCGTCGTCGTCGTCGTCGTCGTCGTCGTCGCCGTCGTCGTCGGGCGCGCACCGCGTCGTCGCGTCGTCGTCGTCGTCGGCGACGCCGTCGCCGTCGCCGTCGCCGTCGCCGCCGCTGCCGTCGCCGTCGGCGTCGCCGTCGCCGTCGTCGTCGGTCGTCGTCGGTGTCGGCATCGGCGTCGGCGTCGGCGTCGGCGCAGGTCATCGGTCGTCGGACGTCGGTCGTCGGTCGTCGGTCGTCATCGTCGGTCGTCGGTCGTCGTCGTCGTCGTCGTAGGTGTCGGCATCGGCATCGGCGTCGGCGTCGGCGTCGGCGTCGGTCATCGCTCGTCGGTCGTCGGTCGTCGGTTGTCGGTCGTCGTCGTCGTCGTCGTCGTCGCCGTCGTCGTCGGCGACGCCGTCGCCGTCGCCGTCGCCGTCGCCGCCGCTGCCGTCGCCGTCGGCGTCGCCGTCGCCGTCGTCGGTGCCGTCGGCGTCGCCGTCGCCATCGCCGTCACCGTCGCCCTCGCCGTCGCCGTCGCCGCCGTCGCCGTCGCCGTCGTCGTCATCGTCGTCGTCGTCGGTCGTCGTCGGTCGTCGATGTCGGCATCGGCGTCGGCGTCGGCGTCGGTCGTCGGTCATCGGTCGTCGGTCGTCGGTCGTCGGTCGTCGGTCGTCATCGTCGGTCGTCGGGCGTTGTCGTCGTCGTCGTCGTCGGGGTCGGCATCGGCATCGGCGTCGGCGTCGGCGTCGGTCATCGCTCGTCGGTCGTCGGTCGTCGGTTGTCGGTCGTCGTCGTCGTCGTCGTCGTCGTCGTCGTCGTCGTCGCCGTCGTCGTCGGGCGCGCACCGCGTCGTCGCGTCGTTGTCGTCGTCGCCGTCGCCGCCGTCGTCGTCGTCGGCGACGCCGTCGCCGTCGCTGCCGTCGCCGTCGGCGTCACCGTCGCCCTCGCCGTCGCCGTCGTCAGTGCCGTCGCCGTCGCCGTCGCCATCGCCGTCGCCGTCGTCAGTGCCGTCGCCATCGCCGTCGCCATCGCCGTCGCCGTCACCGTCGCCGTCGCCGTCGCCGCCGTCGCCGTCGCCGTCGCCATCGTCGTCGTCGTCGTCGGTCGTCGTCGGTGTCGGCATCGGCGTCGGCGTCGGGGTCGGCGTCGGTCATCGGTCGTCGGACGTCGGTCGTCGGTCGTCGGTCGTCGGTCGTCGGTCGTCATCGTCGGTCGTCGGTCGTCGGTCGTCGTCGTCGTCGGTGTCGGCTTCGACGTCGGCGTCGGCGTCGGCGTCGGTCATCGCTCGTCGGTCGTCGGTCGTCGGTTGTCGGTCGTCGTCGGCGTCGGCGTCGGTCATCGTTCGTCGGTCGTCGGTCGTCGTCGTCGTCGGTGCCGTCCGCCGCGGCACTCTCCAACTTCTTCCGCTACCCTGACTCCGCCGCCTTGCTGCGCGCGGGGTCGTGACGCCAAGAAAGCATGTTCGGGATCCACCAAAAGGGGTGGGGGCCCTGAGGGGGGGGCCATGAGTTCGATCCGATGGTGCACCGAACTGCCGCAAACAGATGCCCCCCACATGCCCCACCTATCGGCAACTATCAGGAGCTGACGGCGGCTGGGGGCATCTATCTTGGGCGGTCCGGTGCAAACACCAGGCGAACTCTCTCTCTCTCACACACACACGCACGCACGCACGCACGCACGCACGCACGCACGCACGCACGCACGCACACTCACAAACACATACACACAGACTCTCACACAGACTCTCTCTCTCTCTCTCTCTCTCACACACACACGCACACACCCACACCCACGCACGCACGCACGCACGCACGCACGCACGCACGCACACACTCACACAAACAAACAGACACACATGACCACACAAACGCACAAACGCACAAACACGCAAACACACAGCAACACACGGGGCACACGCAACACACGGGGCACAACCCCCCCATTTTGCGGGATCGCGAAGTTGTCTGTGCTCCTCTCCTCCCTCGCTTTTTTTGTTCCCGCGGGGGGTCGGCCCGCAGGCGCCGTGGCGACGACCGTCGTCGCCGCCGACGTCGAAGCCACCCGCGGCCCGCCCCCGCCGCCGCCGCCGTCGTCGTCGTCGTCGCCGTCGCCGCCGTCACAGCACGAGTCAAGTCGGCCACCAGCCGCTCGACATCGACGTCGTCGGACGGCGGCGAGCTCGGGCGGCGCCCTCGCCGGCCCCTGTGGCGGTGCACCGCAGACCACTTTCCTGGGGCCCTTGAACCGAGGAACAGAACAATGACAGAAACACTTACAGCTTCGGAGCTCCGCACGAGTCTCTTGGATCGGCGCTGGAGACCCCCAGCGGCGCCTCTGGCGCCGCCCCTGGTGCGCTCCGCGCGCCAGGGAGGGGGGCCCAGCGCCGATCTCAGAGATCCCCGCGGAACTCCAACAGTTCATGTTTACGTCACTGTTTGCTCCTCGATGGAGCCCCACTCCGTGCCCAGGACCTCCATCAAACTGCCCAGGACGAAAAAACCTGCCGCTGGCATGGTAGCCGGCTAAGGCCAGGGGGCCGCGCCGAGGCGACCACGACGACGGCAGCCCGGGACCACCGCCAACGCAGCCCGAGCGGCCGAGAGGCACGGGCAGACCCGAGCTGGATCGCATCGCCACGCCGGCTCGGATCGGAAACGAATCGACTCGCCAGCGAGTCGCCCCGAATCGCATCGAGATCGGGTCGCCGCGGCCGGCTCCCGCTGGCCCCCAGCAGGTGCCGACGCACCGAATCGAATCACACCGGATCGGAGTCGCGACCCCAGCCGGCGACTCGAGTCGCATGTCGAGACGGCTCGCTCGCGCGAGAGATCTGGTGACCTCGCGCGGTACCGCACGCAGGCCGCCTGCGCCGCGGTCCGGGTGGCGAGGAGGGCAGCGCGGTCGCGGGCGGGCGGCCCTTCTTCTCGGACCGCCAGCGCCGAGGTGGGGGGTGCAGGACCGCCTGACTTGTGGGTGGGGGGGGGGCAGGCCCGCGGGATGTCCCGCGGGAGCGCCCAGAACGAGGCCGCCGGTGTCGAAGCCAAGGTCCGCGTCATCGAGGCAGAAACTCGCCGGACCCAGACTAAAGGGAAACTGGGACACACAAATAAATACACACAAATAAAAGGATTCCCCATATTTTCCCCATATTTTCTGGGTTTTTGTCTTCCCCACCACTTCCCATATTTTCCCATATTTTCCGGGGGATCGACGATTAATTGTGTCTGTGTGTTTTTTCCCCTCCTGACAGACCCCAGAGCCGTGGCGTCGCGGCCAGAGCTCTTGTCGCACGATGTGGCCGGCATGCGCGAGGAGGCATCTCGCTGTGAGCAGTATCTGGACACGCGCCTCGTCGATGGTGCAAGGGTTCTGAGGTGCCCTAGAGCTTTGTGGGTCCCCGGGGCCATCGGGGGATAGGACATTCTGGCAGGCCAATGTCCTTTTTAACGTGCCTATAATGGTGGCAATGGTTCGTCATTCGAGGCTGAGTGGAGCCGGGGTGTCCCCCGACAATGATAAGCATACGAATGAGGTGATAAGACAACTCAGCGGAGATCCCCAAAGATCCCCAGAACCCCAGGGAGGCACCCCGAATCCAGAGATCCAGAGGAGACCACAAGCGTCCGAAACCCTCGATCCTTACTCCTCCTCCTCCTCCTCCACCTCCTCCTCCTTCCTTCTTCCTCCTCCTGGAGAAAGCGAGAAGTCCCGCTTTTTGACCGCAGTCCTCAGACTGTCTGTGCTGCGCGCAAGCGTGATCGGAGACAACGTGCGGCTCGGGAGGCCCGGAGCATGAAGAAGGGGAGGAGAAGTAGAAGGTGGAGAGGGAGGAGGAGGAGGAGGAGACGGAGGAGGAGGAGGCGGAGGAGGAGGGGAGGAGGAGGAGGAGGAGGGAAAATGTTTGAAATGTCTCAATATTTTCGACCGCGTCCGGACCTCTGAAGCCTCTGGTGACCTCGGGAGACCTCCAGAGACTCCCGGAAACCTCGAGATGACCCGAGAAAACCCAGCACACAGGGAAATGCGTGTGGCTTTGAAAAGGGTTTTGAACAGGGTTCGACCTGGCCTTTCGTAACTGTTTGACTTCATGGGGTGTCAACCTGTCTGGTCATAGTACAAGAAGAAACAGATGACAACCACGTTTTGAACAAATGTCGCCATCGATCCAGATAGCAGCTGAACGCTTCAAGCTTCCTTGTCATTGAGTTGAAGGAATTGTGGCGATAACGACATGGTGACCCCCCCCCGCCAGCCGAGTAGCTGTTGGGGGCCTTGGTAGCACATTCACGCAACGCTCAGATGTAGACCGCTTGTTGACACGACGTTCCCCTGCATCCGTGTACCTGTTGGGACTATCTGGGACAGTGTCCGCGGCTCTGACGGGCAAACCACATCTTGAACCCACCCGCCCTCCATCCGTCTACGGCAGGTTCGTGTCGTGCCGACCCCAGCGTTGTTTTTGACACCGCAGGGATCGTTCAACCTTGAACGATCGGCCGCTGCCGCAACGTCCGATCGTTCAACATCGATCGATTCTGGGCCGCCGGCGGCGTTCAACCTTGAACGCCCGCGCTGGGGTCGCCGCTGGTCGACACGACGCAAACCTACCGTAGCGGTTGGATTGATAAAGAAAACACAGAGCGAGTTTGCTCGGCGTTTCCACGAGACCGAAGGATTGCAAAAAAACGAAGGATTGCAAAACTTAAAACCATTCGATTTTGCAATCCTTTTGCAATCCTTCGATGTTTACAATCCTTCGACTTTGAGATCCTTCCCCAGAGAGAGAGAGCCCTTTTGCAATCCTTAGATTTTTACAATCCTTCGATTTTGAGATCCTTCCCCAGAGAGAGAGCCCTTTTGCAATCCTTTGATTTTTACAATCCTTCGATTTTGAGATCCTTCCCCAGAGAGAGAGAGCCACGTCTTGAAAGCGGCCCACCCTCCTCCGACGCAGCGTCAAGACACAATCCGAGGCACTCGGATGCTTTTGATACTTCGGAAAATGGCGAGCGACACGCCGAGTCCGCCCTATACCAAGACCCGCCGGTCGGAAGAAGTGCGTAGAAGGGCGCTGGAAGGAGGGCGCTGGAAGGGATCGGAAGAGGAAGGAAGAGGGAAGGAAGGAAGAGGGAAGGAAGGTAGAAGGGCGCTGGAAGGAGGGCGTTTTGGAAGGGATTGGAAGGAGACTGGGCTTCCCCCCGCTCCCCGAAGAGGAAGGGAGGGGGAAACCGATCGATCTATTGGATTGGGACGGCGTCGCAAGTAGGTTGAGATCTGGATATCCCAAGATACCTACGTTCAGCGACGGACGGGTACGCCTTGCGGTGCGACGAGGAGTTCTCTCTCTCGGGAGGGGCGACCGGCGGCGGCAGTAGGCGGAGGCGGTGGCAAAGGAGGAGGCGCAGTCGGGAGGAGGATGCGGGATGAGGAGCACGTGCAGCTGCGGGCGCAAAGGCACAAGGAACAGGCTCGAGGAGAACGATCGCGCTGTGCCCATCGAGCAGCGGCATGCTGCTCACTCGTAGCTCTTGCGGGTTCGCTTCCAGAGGGACTTGTTCTTGGCGGTGGTGCACTGCTTCTCCATCCAGGAGTCAAGCTCCTCCCGCGAAGGGTACTTCTCCTTCAACTTCTTCTCTGGGTCCTCCCATTCCTTCACCTTGGCCTCGCGCCAATCCACGAGCGACTTCTCGTCCTTCTCCTCCCACAACTTGAGCTGGTCCTCCGTCCACTCTGGAAAGGTGATCTCGGCTGGCTTCGTCGCGCCCTTAATCTTCATGATCTCCATGACAAAGATCAGGCACGCGCAGCCGGGGATCTTGGGCGGACTCCCGCCCTCGCCGTACGCCAGCTCGTAGGGGATGTACATCTCCCACTTGTCGCCCTGTACCATCAGCTGCATTGCTTCTGTCCAGCCCTTGATCACCTGGTTCGGGGCGAAGGTCGTGGGAGCTCCGCGCTTGTAGGAGGAGTCGAACTCCGTGTCGTCGAGGAGCCTGCCCGCGTAGTGGCACTCGCAGGGCGTTCCGACGAGCGGGTGCTCCATGCCGCGTCCCTCTTTGAGCACCTGTGGGGGAAGGGGAACAACGTGAACGTACACTGCAGTGGACACATTTGACCACACAGTGGACGCATATGCCTACCTACCAAACCACCCCAACCCAAACCCCAAGTCATCGTTGGGCTCGTCACTCTCCAGTAGGGGGCACTCCAGAACATGGAGACACCATGATGGAACCCGTGCGCCTCCGAATCCGATTTTTTTGGAGGGGTCTACGGCGGGCCTTCAGGTGGGCTTGGTTTGGTACATGTATACACATATACACATGCTAGAAGATATCCTGATATAACTTATGTTCGGGCACATTCTTCGTCGGCCTTCGAGGGGCCTAGAGGTGCCCGAGAGCCTCATTTGGTTACTGGGGCCATGTGGGATCAGAAACTTCCATGATTTAACGTGACTGCTGTAGAACCACGCCGGCTCTTCGCGCTCCAGTCTGCCGTGTCACATCAAGTTCAAATCTAACCTTCGCTTGCTTAGCCTCCGCGGCAAAGTCGGCCCTTGGTGACTGCCTTTCTCCACGCTTCAGCAGACTCTTTCTCACCAGCATCGTCATTATGTCCTTCGCCCCCATCTTCATCGTATTCCTCTTCCTCCATCCATGAATCTACATCTTTGTTCAGATCCTCCCCTTCGTTCACTTATTACTGAGATCATTGGTGTCGGCAAGAACGAAGGAACAATGGTGAGGAAGCAGAAATTGATCCCTCCCGTCCCATTGCCCTCCTTTCTGGGACCGCCCCCCGGGCCAGGATACAAACAACTCCTTGGCCCCAAAAGCTGAAGCTGTCCTCTCGGATTTCGCTGTGTGCCATCTTGGAGTTATCTGGTGGACATAGCATGGCAAAGTGTTGCCGTGCTGCGATCGGTTTCGATGTTATTGGGCCCTCTTGGGCTCTCTGTTGGGCTGCCTCGGTCTCTTCTGGGCTCTTCTGCGACCTTCTGGGGCCGTTGGGTCGGTCTTGGGGTCCCCTTGGGCGTCTTCAAACGCTGGCGGGGAGTGGGGGGCAGCTTGCTCTTTTCTGCTCATGCTCCCCAGCTTCTCCGAGGCCCTCCTGGAACCATATCGAGCTGAACTGTTTGGAACCCCGCCCATAAGCACCTCGTTGACGCCCTATGGGCGGCCGCATAAAACGGCACGTCCGCCACCTTGTCTCTGTGCACGGAATGGGCGTGTCCTCAGGTGCTTCCCCGAATCGTTTTCCTCTTAGCCTCGATCCTCTCTTCTGAAGGGTCTTTGGAAGGCCCGGGAACAGAAAACATCTCGCGCGCGTGTCGACGGGTACGGGTAGCTGGCTCGCGCACAGAAGCTCTCGCGAGTACAATCGGGGGACGACCCACGACGGCCTCAAGACGGTCCAACGACGGATCGAGATGGCCACAAGACGGCCCAATAGACTCCCGCGACGACCCACGGAGGCCCGAATGGGAACCCCCAAGAGAAGAGGCCCACAACGGGAGGTCGTTCAATTATGGCATACTTACCTCCCAAGTATGCAGAGCCTTCAAGACGGCACAATCAGCCCCCGGATCGTCCCAAGATGGCCCAAAAGTTACCCAAGAGGGCATCAGGTGGAGCCCAAGACAAGCAAGGTCGACGACAGCCTGAGATCGGCGGCGAGCGAGGGGGGGAGACGAGAAGGAGAAGACCTTCTCAGAAGGCGGCGGGACTTCTCAGAAGCCTTCGCGCCTTCATAGAAGTTTTTTTTTGTCTCCGGGGAAAACTTAGAAAACTTCAGGGGGCGAGACTTATGAGAAGGCCTTCTCCTTCTCACTTCCCCCCTCGCTCTCCGCCGATGAGAGGGCCCGAGGACGCCCCATGAGGAATCCGGGAGATGCTTCGAACTTCCCAAGAGGGCCCCCAGGCAGCCCAAGAGGGCCCCCAGTCCGCCCCGGGAAGAGCCCCCGAAGACTCCCAGGGCGGTCCCGAGGTGCCCAAGACGGCTTGCAGGGGACAGCCCCATGGGGGCCCCCGAGAGGGGCCTGCCCGCGAACGTCGATCCGTGCGGCGACGGTCGGGGGATCGCTGGAGCGGCGACGGCTTGCTGAGCTTCGCCCGGCTGATCGAGGGTTGCGAGCGGGCCCCTCTTGGGCGTCTCCTGTGGCCATCCTGCGAGGCCGCCTCGGGGGTCCTGCTGGGCCGTCTTCGGGCCCTGCCGGGCCGTCGTGGAGGTCCGCTGGGCCGCTCTGGGGGTCCTGGCGGTGTGCCTTCGGGCCCCCTCGGGCTGCCAGGGGCCCTTCGGAGGGCCGTCCCTGGGGCGTCTTGAGCCCCGCTCGGTGGGCTGTCGTGTGCCCCTCTGGGGCCGTGCTGGAGCCCGCTCGGGCGCCTCTTGGGGCGATATTGGGGCCTTTTGGCCTGCTCTTGACGTTCAACTTACAACGCAGCGAATCTGCCAACATCCCTCGAAACCAATTTTTCCAAACGGCGGCACGAACAAAATACTGCACTGCAACATTTCCAGAATAAACCCGGACACAGGCCCCAAAAGCCTGCTGCAAGACACCCTTTAACCCGGACACGAACCCGAATCCTGCAGTGCAGCAAACAAAACATGCACGGGCGCTGAAAAACGTGACTTTGCAAGAATGGATGTCGTTTCCTTGGTTTTCCGTGTCCTGGTTTATCCGTGTCCTGGTCTCCGGGGGTCTGAAGACGTCGCACATCTCTGCTGCGCCCGGAACATACCGAAACATAATATACACATTTGGCTCAGCGTCTCACGCTCTCGAACTTACCTCACATAATTTTCACTATGCTGTACGCGGTGTTGGTTGCGAACACAGTTTTGTGGACATGCTGCTTGCTCCTTTCCTAATCTCCTCTTTATGTATACATACATTTGCACTTACTACTGCGAGCCCGTGGAGTAATGTCGCGGAATCGCGCTAAGCGAAACACGGCGACACGTGCACGGAGGTAATTCAGCGCCGTCAACAGCAAGAAAAACGGAGGACGGGCGTTCCTCCGCGAAACGTACAGTCGGGACAGACGGGCGTGGGTGAGCAGCGACAGAGACATGCTGATGCACTCTCCGACAACTCAGGTGCCAGACATGCTTGCGGGTAGACTGACATCGCCTTGACCTCAAGAGGCAGCGACTGGTGGTGGGAAGCGGCCGGCGGTTCGGCCGGCGCCACGGTGGCAGTATGTGCGATTCCTGCCCACCGAGCCTTGTACTGCAGGCCCGACGGCAAAGTCACCACCCTGTCCTTTCCCTTGTTCTCCTCCAGGAACTTCCGGCCCGCCTCCTTGCCGTTCGGGTCCGCCATTGGGTGCAGAACAAATACGGCGAACCGCAGAGATGCTAAACCTGGCCCGCAGACAGCTGGCTCGAAGCAAGGCGTCAGCGGTGGAGAGACAGGCGGAGGCGAACGCGAATGGGAGGAGGAGGAAGAATATGATGATGATGATGATGATGATGATGATGATGATGATGATGATGATGATGATGATGATGATGATGGTGATGATGGTGATGGTGATGATGATGATGATGGTGATGATGGTGATGATGATGATGATGATGATGCTGATGCTGATGATGATGATGATGATGATGATGATGATGATGATGCACCCGTCGGAGGCGGAGTGTCCTGGTTGTCGCAATCGCACCAGCCCTCTGGGCGTGAGAGGTTTAGAGCGTTTCCTCTTCCATCTTCCCTCTTGAGCGTCCAAGATGGCCTTGGCGAGGAAGCCCACAAGACTGATCGTATTATAGATGTGTGGCAACATTTGGCCTCCTGGGGGGGCGGACCCTAATTAGAGAGCTCCCGTCCATTGATCGATCTCATTACCCCCAAGGCTCCCAATCGTGCCCCAAGATGGCCCCAAGAGATGCCAAGGAGGCCCCAAGAGGCCCCATGAGGCCCCCGAGATGCCCCCAAGAGGCTCCCGAGAGACCCCCAAAACGCTCCCAGAGGCTCTCCAGAGGCACCCAAGACGCCCCAAGAGGCCTCGACGAGAAAGCCCAAATCATCGATTTTACAAAAAGGTTGTGGCAGCATTTTGGTCTCCTAGTGCGGGGGACCCTGAATAAGGAGCCCTCCTCCTCTTACCGATCTCTCCCGACATGACCCCAAGATGGCCCCCGAGGCTCCCAAGGGTGACCCAAGACGGTCCCAAGAGATGCCCAGAAGGCACCAGGAGGCCCCCACGATACCCCCAAGATGCCCCCAATTGGCTCCCAAGATGCCCCCAAGAGGCCCTCAAGAGACCCCCGAGAGGTACCCCAAGACGCCCTCAGAGGCCCCCAGGACTGCCAAGATACCCCCACAACGCCCCAAGAGGACTCCAAGAAACTGTCGAAAGAACTCCGAAGAGACTCCGAGAGGCACCCAAGAGGCCTCTGGCCTTTCTGCTCGCCCTTCTCCTCCTCGTCTTCCTCATCTGCCTATTCCTCCTCCTCCTCGCTTCTCCCCAGCTTCCTCTTCCTCCTCCCTTTCCTCCTCCTCCTCCATCCTCCCCCTCTTGGGGTATGACGTCTTACCCGGCCCTTTTATTACAGTGCATGCTCCTCCCCACAACCCTGGCCAGGGCTACTCGTCTGGGCATCGTTTCTGGGTGGGCTGGTGGGGTCACGCGAAGCGTCTAGGATAACTCAAGAACAACGTTCTTCGGCTCTGGGTTTACAGACTAAACTGCGCAACAACTCGCCTGCCAAACTCCATGTAATGCTGGGGTCCCGTGTACCCGCCGGATTAAGGCGGACGCTCCAGCCAGACGGGTTCTGGCGGTGAATCTTGCCACGCCCCGTTGTTGGAAACGGTTTGAGAAGGCGCGCTGGACCTCAGACACCCAAAAAGCGCCTTTGCGAGTTGACCCATTCGTGGTTTTGCTCCCTTGCCGCTCTGGCCCTTCCATGTGTAACAACTGCAAAACGATCCCACCGTGGAATTCAATCGGGTATCCAATGAATACCCGTTTGAAAAGGATCACCATCCAGCCGTGTAGCTGGTGCGCATTGTGGCGCTCCTGGCGATCACACCTGAGGCAATACCAAGCGAGAACAGCGTTTGGAACCACGCCACCGTCCATCCATGCAGCTGTTGTGTATATCTTCCAATCAGACACCTGTGGGCGGCGAGAAAACGAGAGACTCTCGCAAAAACAAACAAGACCAAACGAACGACACTCTGCCGATGTACCACCTGAGAACGTTTGCAACGAATGTCCGCGGCACCTGAAGGAAAACACCAACTGCAGTCAATCCTGATTGGCCTGCTTTCCACCACCACCACCACCATAACTTGGAGGGGGGAAGGAGGTGGAGGACGAGGAGGAGGACGAAGACGAGGACGAGGAGGAGGAGGAGGAGGAGGACCTTTTTCCCCCTCCAACTCATGGTGGTGGAGGTGGAAAACAAGCCCATGAAACCCATGTAGTTAACTGCCAATCTGTTTACAACAAGACGGATGCGCGCGGCGCTGGGCCAACTAGCCGCTTTGACGTCAAACCGCCCTCCGCCCGCGCAAGTGCGGAAAACGAATAAGGCAAGTGTCCGCGGCGGTGAATCGGGCGGGTGGTAATGGGGGGTGACCCAAATGGGTGGCGAAGAAAAATGCCCCAAAGGGGCCCCTGGCTCTAAAAGGAGCCTTAAAGGGCCCCTTTAGGGCCCTTCTCTTCACCCCCATTTGGGTCGCCCCCCATTACCACCCGCCCGAGTGAAACGACAGACGCGCTCTGACAACGGACCGTACTCTATCCGTTTAGCTGTTGAGGACTGCGGCGCGAAGGCGAGAACCGCACTACGAAAACAAATCGCTCTCTATCCGTGCAGCTGATGGGAGCTTGTAAGTGCGCGGCTCTGACGGCAGTCGGTGCTTCCCCTATCTCCGAACGCCGATGAATACGCTCGCCAAGAAAGGATGGACGGCAAAGAGCAAAGACGTAAATATGATAACCGCCAATCACCAACTTGCCCAATCAGAGCGGCAAGTCGGAAAAGTCTGCTGCGCATCGGTCTCACTTGGAGGGGACAGCCAGGCACGGTCGGCAAGGCTTTTCAAGGAGAGGGAGGGAGAAGTCACGGAAGGGGACTGGACTCAGGGTCACCACTCTCGTACCGCAGCTGGGCTCATTGAGATGAACACCCTCATGGGAGGCCAGAAGCGCAGCGGCCAAGCGAATCGCAGGACCGCCATTCGCGGGAGGAGGGTGGAGGGTAGCGACGACGAGCAGCAGAACCGAAGGAGGTCGACGACGAGAAGGAAGACGAAGAGGACCAGGACGTGGCAGACGGGCCCAACGACGAGGACGGGGAGGACAAGGATGAGCTTGAACAACTGCCAGGCCGAGGAGCGAGGAGAACGAAGACGAGGACGA